ATGGATGGGTGGACACACAAACGTGGCCTCTCCATGCTGCAGGCAGGGTGTCCTGATGGAGCTCCCTGTGGCCAAGGGCAAGACACAGGTGGCCAAGCTGGACTGGACGGTCCTCCCCACACACCACCCTCTGCAGCGAGATAGGGCTCAGGAGGGCGGCCACACCATTCAGTCCTCCGCACACAGACCCCGGTGTAGACGGTGCTGCCGGGCTGGGGCCCTGCTGCAGGCCAGAGCTTGCCCCACAGCCCCACGGTACAGCCTTCTGCCTCCACAAGGGGTTGGGAAGGGCCTGCCCATGTTTCCCTCCATTTCCGGAGGGAGTGTCATGGCTGTGGGCTCTCTGCTCTGCGCCTGGGAAGGGCAGATGGGGGACAGGCCTGGGGCAGTGCCAGATCCTCGTTTGGCGTTTCAAGCCTGTGTGCCAGAGGGTGTGAGCAGTGCTGCCCTCAGGGCACCTGAGGCTGAGGGTGGCGCTGAGGAACCACGGGGCTTGGGCTCCAGCCGCCAGCTCCGTCCAGCCAAGCTCTGGTGCCTCTGTGGGCATGAGAGGCAGGAGGTGGCACCTGGGAGAGCTCAGCTCTGCTGGCCTCTGTGGAGGGTGGCGTGGCTGACCCCAACTTCATCTCCACCCGGAGCCTGAGAGGGGAGCTTGTCTGGAAGCAGGGACTTTGTAGACGTATCCGGTTGAGGATCTTGAGATGAGATCCTCCTGGATTTGGGGTGAGCTCTGAGTCTAGTGTGGGTCCTCATGAGAAGAGGAGAAGATGCAGACACAGGGGGAGAGGCTGTGTGACCGAGGCAGAGAGAGGCACGGGCAGCCACACAGTGGGGACAGCATGTACGAGTTATGACAGAGGCTGGAAGGCAGGAGGGACCCCCATAGCTTTAGAGCCCCGTGGACAGACGGGGTGCGGTCCTCTGTCGCTCTGTCCCAGAAGGCTCCACCCAACCCCAGCTCAACCCAGCCACAGGCAGCCACCCCGTGAGCACCGTGCTGAGGCCGCGCCCACTCACCATTGTCACTGTTGTCGTCCACCAGGATGACCTCCTTGAGGAGCTGGGAGGGCGTGTGGTTGACCACGCTGTGCACGGAGCGCAGGATGACCGACAGTGCCTCGTTGACGAAGATGAAGACCACGGAGACCTGGGGCAGGTCCTGGGCGTAGCTCATCTGTCTGCACCTGCAGGAGACACGGTTTGGGGTGTGGTCAGGGTGGGGTGCACGGGACACTGGGAGCCAGGTGCACCCTTCGAGGGCTACTGGACAAGGCCTTGACCCTACAACCAGACGTCAAGGGTGTACAGGGGTCAGAGCTGTTCTAGAAAGAAACTAGTAACAGTAACACGGCACCCAGCACACACACAGCCCCTGTGCCCACCCTGTCCTCACAGCAACCTCAAGAGATAAATGTCCCCGTTCTACAGACAGGAGCCTCCCCCGTGGGCCATGAGTGCAGGTGCTGGGATTCCAACCCCAGCTGTCAGCTTCAGGAGCACGTTGGGGATGGCGCTGCTGGGCACAGCTGAGGAGCCAGGCACAGCCAAGGAGCCAGCCACCCGCATGGGCAGCCACTTCCCGCCCTGGCTAGCAGCTAGTTCCGAGCCTCTGGTGAGAATTTCAAAGGGACGAGGGCTGTGCGTCACCATCACATTTATCTGGACTGTGGTGCTCAGCGAGGGAGATTTCATCACTCAGAAAAATGCATTCTGACAAGAAGACTTCACTCCATTAGTCTGTAGAGGAAAAAGCTTGGATCACACAATTTTCATGAACTTGCAAAATGTGTAAAACAAAAAACCCTGAGAAAGGAAATAGATCTTAGGACGGACTGCGGGAGCGGGTGCAGAGTGGAGAGGAGATGTTTTGGGGTTGTGGGGGCAGAGGCACTCCCAGAGCCCAGCGGGAGAGGGGCAGGGCTGCTCAGAAAGCCTGGGACCAGCCCTGTCCCACGGGGCGGCCCCTCACCGTCCCCAAGCGCACGCCCTGTACCTGTTTGTTCCTGCAGGTCTATCTCCCCCCCATGACCAGAACGTGAGCCCCCGACAGCAAGCTCCTTTTCTGTCCCGTTGACAGCTCTATACCAAGAACCCAGGCTGTGCCCGGCACACAGCAGGTACTTTATAAACATCTGTGTAATGAGGGGACAAATGATGACTCAAGGGGCCCCATAGGCACCGGCTGGGCCCGTGAAGTACTCATGCCTGTCCCCGATGCCTCCTCGGAGCAGTGGAGGAAGCCGCTGGCCTTGGGGACAGTGGTGGACTCCACCCCTTCTTTCTCCCTCCATCACTAGGTCAGGAGGCGTCTCGGGCCTGGCTGCGGGGCCACATGCACCTGTGCTGAAGAACTCGCAAGCAGCAAGGACAAGGGATTTATGGCGTGAGCATTCCCGGGGGCCTCTAGCCTTTTCAGACTTTAGAGCGAGGGCGGGTGGGGGCAGAGAATCCCTGTCACCTACTCATTCTCAATGACCTCTCATTTGATTTAGAATCCGTGTCCGGGACCCACTCCTTGCCCCAGGATATCGACGGCCTTTTATGGATGGATCTCAGCGGCCACTCGCTTTATAAACAAGTTGCCTGCATGGAACAGGCTTCCCTGCAAGCTCATGGCCGCAGGTTTGAGGGATGGACGCAGAGGGCCCCGGGACGCTGGCCATGCTGGGGAGTGTGTGAGGTGCCCAGGAGCGATGAGGGCAACAGAACCTTCCAGATGCACCCTCTGCTGTCCACTCAGCAGGAACACGGAGAAGCCGAGCCGGGCTGGCCTAAGCAGAAAGGGGGTTGGTGGCTCATCCGTAGGAAAAGTCCAGGTGGGTTTGGTTTCGGGCCAGCTTGACCAGGGGTCAAAGCTCGTCAGTGGGACACGGGCCTCTGTCTGCCTCTGTTGGCTCCAGCCTTCTGGCTCGAGTTTAATCTCAGGAAGGCCTGTCCGCGTGGCCGGAGGCCGTGTCCCCGCAGGTCCGGACCTTCCAGGGGTTTGAGTCCAGGGCAGCAAACCCACCTGTCTTCCCAGGACACGCAGGAAAACATCCCTGTGTCTCCCGGGCTCTGACTGGGTGACGTGCCCTTCCCTGAACCAATTGTGGCCAGAGGAAATAGGGCACTCTGATTGGCTTATGCTCCATTCCATCATGCACCAATCACTGTGGCCAGAGGAAATAGGGC